ACGGGACGGCACTATTTGATCATGCATTTTCACATACCCGGCATAGATGTGCAAAGTCATATGGGTTATTTGCTGACTCAGGGCGCGCACGTCATTTGCGTCTTCGTTGGAGCCTTCGGACTTTATGCCGGTGACATTGCGTTGATTGTATTTTTGCTGCAATCGTTTATCTTTGCGGATGTTCTGCGTCTGAAGGTGGAGACTTTGAACGCGCACGTGGAGTGCGTGGAGAACAATAGACAGAAACAGACGACGCACATGCTCGTCGACATTGTGCGATGGCATCAAGTCTATCTGCGGTAAGCGAACTGAATGGATCCATCAATCAATCAATCAATCATAACTTAATGAAAAACGAACATTTCTGAGGCTTTACTTTACGTTGAAACCTAAATACGCACGAAATGAATTCGAAGAACTGCGGGAAACTTAATTAAATTTGTTAGAATTGCAAAATTAGCTTATTCCGATTATTGTTTATGAAAAGTAGAAGGATGATGTTTCGAATATCAATGACGAAGGCACATAAAAACATATGACATATGGCTTTGAAAAAAAAACTTTTCAAAAATTTGCATGTTATATTCATTTTGACATTTTGAAATAAAATATCGTAAAAAATGTCTATAGTTATTTTTTAAAAAATATGTGTTTGATATTTTTACTTTTTTGCGTCAAATGAAATATTTGAGATTAAGACGAGATTAAGTGTAAAAACATTTCGACACATAAAAGTTAGGTCCAATGATGGTTAAAAAAATAAATTAAATTTTATTAAATAATTTTTAAAGCATATATTTTGATTTTCAGATTTGTAACCCAATGCAATGACCTCTTCTATGTTATGGTCTCCATACAAATAACGACTTCAGCGGGTTGTATTGTCTTGACCATTTTTGTAATGCTCACATCTGACTGGCCCGCGGCGTATCCCTTCTTGGTCCTTTTGTTTCCTAATATGTACATTTATTGCATACTTGGCACATTTCTAGAGAACTGCGTGAGTATGCGTATTAAATAATTAAAATAATTAAGGCGCTTGTAACATTAAGAAAGTTAATAGAAGAGCTTACCTATACAACTGATAAACATTATAAAGTTGTAACTAATTTTGAAGAAACTAATTAAATTTATCAAAGCTAATACTTAGCTTAATTAAAATGTAATTATTGCACATGCCTATTTCTGAACACTCCGCTAAGTAGTAAAACAAATGTTATGTTCAATTACATTAACTAACTACATTTTCAATTAGAGATCATTAACATTCCTGCCACTCATTTCATTCATTTCGCATAGTTTCCAACTCTTTTAAACATACAAGTATTAATGTTTGTCTTTCTCAACTCTCTGTTTAGAACGATGACATTAAGTATCATATCTACAACATATCCTTCTACAATCTGACCGTTCCCCAACAAAAGCTAGTATTATTTATGTTGGCCAAATCCCAAAATCCCGATCAAATTTATGTATTGGGTTTCATGCCTTTGGCTGTGAGCACAGCTCTAAAGGTCAGTGACTTGATAACGTTTTGCGTAAATTAAAAATTAATTTGATTTTCACTAAGCGTAATGCGAAATATTTCTTTTTTGATGCTTACAGATAACCAAAACTATTTATAGCATCACCATGATGATGGTACACTTTTTAATGAAATAATTAAAAAATTATGAAAGTCAAAGGAGCGATGGTGGGCCATTGACGCTCATCACTGAGCACATGGGCAAACATTTGATGCTTAAATAAAATTTATTACTGCACGCTGTAAACCAAAGGAGACAGTAAATAGGACGAAGAACGAAGAAGTTGAGGAAGGCAGGATGTTGTGCAGACCAAAACCATCATAATTTTGCATTTGCCAGAGAGCGTAAGAAGCCGAGCACAGAGCCACCGACCGGGCGAAAGCCCTGCTAAAGAAATATGGCAACATTTTTAAAGGCATTTCACGGCAGAGGCAGCAGCAACAACGACTTATGAATTAATTAAATATTTACTGGCTAAACATTGGCGTTTTATGTTGCTGCTACTGCTGCACCTGACTGCCTGAAGCCCACTGTGGCAGAATGCAGACAGTGTGCCGGCGCTTGGAAGCAGGGGGCAGCAAAGTCTTAACAATTTTTAGTTGCTGGGCGCCTGAGCACCAGAGCGCCAAGCGCCTTGCTGCGTCATTTTGATGTTTTATTACTTGACTTCCGCCAGCCGCAGCAAAATGGCGATGGCGGTGGCTCACCAAGGCATACACACACACAAACACACGCACATCCATACACACGCAATGTGATTACGCGAAATGTTGGCACAGGGCAGCAAAAGGCGCAAATGTAAAGCGACTTGGCCTGTATTCTTAAATAGCTATGTCGGTGGCATTAACTTGCCGTGTTACACTTGTCGCTCTTTTTTTTTTGTTGTTGTTGTTGTTTCTATTATGGTTGTACTAGTTTGCAGGAACTTTTGCTTTGGGTAGCTCTGTCATGTGTTTTTGCTGTTGCCGCCACCGCTGCCGCCGCTGTTTGTAGCAAATTACGTTTTAATGCCAGGCCAACCAACTTTTATTGCAGCTTTTTTGTTGCATTTCGCTAAATTGAATTATGTACAGTGCTGGGCTTGGCTGGGCCCAAGGCACTCTCAACCGGACCAACCGTATCGGCATGGACAGCTGAAGGAGCAACGGCCCCAATGCAACTGGCTCATAACTTTCAATGGCAGCGTACGATGGCGCAAGCGGCACAATGGCCAGGAAGCTGACAGCAAATGGGCAAAATTTTGTTTATGCTTAACCCAAGCTTACTTATTTGGAGAGTGTATTTGTCTAAAAGTAAGATTTTCCAAGATGTTGGAGCTTAATTTCAAGTATAAAGAAACGAATCTGAGCTCGAAAACACCTGAATCGAAAAACTTTCAGGAGCGAGCTAAAAGCAGCCTTATTTTACAAAGTAACGTCAAGAAGGTTGATTTGACAAGATAGAACGCTACAGTCGAGCAAGCCCGACAGTAAAATAGCCTGTACTCTCCACAAAAAAAGAAAAATTAAAAAAAAAAAAAATTAAAAAAAAAATTAAATTATTAAAAAAAATTAATGAATTAATTAATTAAATTAAATTAGAATATATGTTTATGTTTAGTTTTAACAGCATACATTTACATCACGTACCTATGCGTGTTTATATGCGTGTATGTATGCAGCACAAAGTTGAACCAAAGCAGCAACAACAACAACAGCTGCGGGCAGCGCTGCCGACAGAGGCAGCGCATGAGCAGCGATTTTACTTATGGCTATAACTTTCTTCAGAATTGACCTATCATGATGAAATTTGGCACACGGACACATTAGTACTAACTGGATGTACCTACCAAAATTGATTTCAAAATTCCGAGAATTACGGAAGTTATAAGAAAAAACACGAATTGCGGGGGAGTGGGGGGGTGCATCGAAAAAAAACTCAAACTCGTACTTTCTCGGTCTTAGGAGAATATGGAAACCAAGTTTGGTTATTCTAGCTCTTATACTTTCTGAGATCCTTGCGTTCATACGGACAGACGGACAGACAGACGGACAGACGGACGGACGGACAAGGCTATATCGACTCGGCTTCTCATCCTGATCAAGAATATATATACTTTGTGGGGTCTGCCACGCCTCCTTCTGTGTGTTACATACATGCGCACAAAACTAGTATAGCCTTTCACCCTTTGGGTACAGGCTATAAAAAATAGTGCTTTGAAACCTAAGTGGCCTCCCAAAAGTCGCCTAGAAGGAATACAAGGCCTGGACAGTATTTGGTGACAGCAGTTGGAACTTTTCAGCTGTCAGATCGGCGAGAGCCGAATAGCTTCCGTATTCAAACATTCCTGAACATTTCTCATAAGAATTGATAAAATTGGTGCCAGGATAACTCTGAAATTAGCATTAATTGGCGCCTATATATTGTAGTTAAAATGGTTTTCTATTCAATGAAAGTCAGTCTAGAAAAGTGCTTAATAAGATGTTACGAATAAACTTACTTATGAAGCTTAAAACAAAAAAAAATAAACTTCTTTAAAAAAAAGGAGGAGGTTCACAATTATTATTTTGTTCTTTTTTAGATAGCTATGGTTAATAAATGTCTGCTGGCACGTAAGCTACTGCGAAATTAACTATCTCATTCGATTATGAATCGCATAAAATACAACTAGACAAGAAGCTTAACTCGAGCTTTGGATAAAATGGATGTATTTAATATTTAAGTAATCTCGCTAAACTAGCGTAGCGTAAATCATCAAGTGCGGCGGTATAGGGCGAAAATGCTAAAGCCAAGAGGCTGAAAACTTGTGAAAAAATTAATAAAAATATTCAATGGCGACTTAAAGATCTCTCCAGAGAGCATGTTCTGAATAAGAATTGCATATCGTAAAAGTTGTATTCAAATTAAAATGACATATCTTTATACTTAAAACTTAATACTACATAGTTTATTCACATATATACAAACTGATATTTTCCAACCTGGTCCTACAATATCTTGAAATTTTAATTTCGCAACTTAAGGCTTAATAAACTATTTCAGCAAATTGTTTAAACCTGTGATAAATTTTAAACAATGACTGAATTCTTCTCAGTTTCTCAAAGCTTTTCACTAGCATTAGCTGTTGTTCACCTTACTTCGATAGCAAAACCTACTACTTTTTACATGCTGCAGTGCTTTAATACTCGCGAAATGAAATTGCTTATTTTGTTTGATGAAATTTGTCTGAGAGCGTATTGTAAATAGATTGCGATTTGAAATGTTGGGAATTATTGCCGTTTCTATTTGAAAACTCTGCCATTGTTGAACAAATCGTGCGACCGCCTTGTTAGCACTCCCTCTTAGCCACTAAGCAACCTCCAATCAGCTTAACCCATTTACGCTGTAAATAAACGATTTGCGCTCATAAAACGTAGCAAAGTAGTAGCTGCCCGCGCTTACAACTACCCCAACACAGTCACCCACTAGGGCCATCCACCCATCACGGTCACTTACCTCTTTTGCAGGAACTTGCGTTTGAACTCGTGCAGCATGCCGCCACCAACTACTCGTCCGCCACTGGCTGCTGCATCGTACTCATTGTTGTTGTTGTTGTTGCTGCTGCTGCCGAAGCGCAATTTCGAATGCTGCTGCAGCAGGTGACGATTTGCCACGCCAAAGTCCATTTGCACATCGACAATCAGCAAGAGCGTGAGCAACACGAGCGTTGCACCCAAGCTGATAGCCAGGCGCTCCTTCAGCTTCATTGTGCGGAGGACGGCCATGATGGGATTGGTTTGTGGAGAGCTCAGCGACTGATTCGAAATTCCAGTGTTGGCAGATTTTTGACTTGTCTTGTTGGTATTTGTAGTGCTGTTGCTATATTCTGCAGAAGCTCCGAAGCTGCGCAACTTGGAAAGCCAGCTGCTATTGCTTTTGCTGATATTGTTGTTGTTGTCGTTGGCTGCCTCTGATTTTTGGCGCGTTTGCGAGGCAGAGCGCTTGGTGCGCACAATGCGCCGTTTGATAAGGACTCGACGTCGTGGTGCTTCTTCTTGCTGCTGCTGCTCCTCCTCCTCCTCCTGCTGCTGTCGGTTTTGTGCTTTGTACGGCGACGGTGTATCTAAGCCGTCATCGTCATATGCCCCAAACGGAACAGCATCAACTGAATCGCTGGCACGTCGAAGCTTTCGAGTTCCTGTCTCGCTGCTGTTCGCTGCGTTTTGCCAATTTCTATGCTTATTCAAATTTGTTGCGCTTATTTGTTCAGCTGATAAGTGGGCAAATGGCGAGCTATTGAATTGGCACTCGTCGTCGTCTGGAGCGTTGCGGAATTCATGAACGACGCCGCTGCCGCAGTGCTCCACACTCTGACTTTTTTGCTCGTCCGATAAGCGACTTGCCGACTGTTGTCGCTGGCGAAACCGTTGCAGGCGCTCAGCTAGCGGCGTTGACTGCGCATAGCTACAAATGGTTTGGCGAAAAAATAGAAAAAAATACTCGATTAGTATGTTGGTCAAGAGGAGCAAGCGGTGGTTAGTAACTGAGTGGAACGCATAGTTTCAGACGCTTTTTTGTTTGTTGTTGTTTTTTTGTATTCTTTCTATGGGGCTGGCGCGAAATTCAATCAAACACGCTCATAAAAACTATATTGTTGGGCAATCTGTGCGGGGCAGAGAAAGCGCGTTTTGATTGCACATCAAACATACGAGTAGGAGTGTGGAAGAGTTGTAAATGAAAACAAAACTAAGTCTACCCCCAATAACAGCAGTGCTGTCGCCAGCTCACTTTTTGGCTAGAAGACTATTTTTGACTACTTTTGACGAATGCGAGCAAGGAAAGGATATGAAATATTTTACAGCATACTTATGTGGGCTAAAGAAAAATTTACTCGTAGATAGTCCGTGGAGAACAAAGTTAAAAGAGTTTCGTTCAGCGCGGACAGTAATGAATGCTGAATAGTAGAGTTATTGATACCGTGTTTCAATTAAAATATTTAGTTTATCAAATAGAACTTTAAATTTGGCTTTCTGTGTCAAAATCCAAACTTATACGCCTTACATACTTATATGATTTCCAAATAGGAGACCAACTCTACCGAAGTTAAGCTTTTAAATAAATTTATATTTGTACCTATTCCCACAGTGAGGCTTTATCTGAATTGCGTTTTGAACGTGAACCAAAATTCACTACTTTTTTTGACCTAAAAAGTATAAAAAAGTATGGAAAGAAACAGATAAATGTCACTACAATTTAAAGTTATATTTAGTGTGCTCAATATTTTACGTTCGGCTTTTTATAATAATGTTAGAAATTTCAACAATTTTAAAACATATTTTCTAAATAGAAATATTTTCTATTAGATCAATAGACACTTTCTGGAACTGCGTTAAAAAGCGCTTCAAACTGGCAATCCACAAACAAAAACGTGATGCACTATTTAAAACTTTGCTTTTACATAAAAGTACGCCAATTATTCTCCACGCCATTAATCTGCAAGTAAAATGTAACCAACAGAAAGGGGATAGAACCACGAAAAATCGTTGAAAGAGTTAAAAAACTGATGTGCTTTTCATCGAGAAGAAAAACAATACAAAAGTAAGCAGTTTTTCCACCATCAGAAGGTGTAGTCGTTTGTCTTGAAAGTAAAGCTAAGCTCGAAACACACATACTACACATTATTTTGAAACCGTGTGGCAACTTTTCTAGTCAGGAAGATATAGAGATCACGACGCTTTCAACCAAAAGACATTACAAATCCATGTACCTATCATGAATATTTAACAATCCTTTACTTACTCAAAAATAAAGCTTCGGAAATTAATCGCCTGTCAGTTCCAGCTGCGTTGCGAACAACTGCAGAATGAAACACGTTTGTTTCAGTATTTTCGGGTTTCTTTTTTAATGCTTTAGCACGGATTTAGCGCAACCTACAAAATATTTATTTGACATTTTTGTAAAGCTAGCCATATTGGCCGATAAAAATATGGCAACTCTAACAATGGCAATCGTAAAAACTAGCATGACGACAACCATCAAAAATATGAACAGACGGCCATTTTGTAGCATGGCCTTTTTTTTTAGCTCTGTGCATAAAACTATGCCCACTAGGACGACAGAATAGATGGGCGAATGGCGTCAGGACGAACGCCAAGCAATTGTTGTTGCTGTTGTTGTTATTCCTGTACAGCTAACGGAAATGCGACAGCAGCCATTTTTTGTGCTGCTGTCAGGCCACGTACATTTTTTTTTGTTCTAGGCAACTGTTAGGTATTGTCTTTCTACTATTTTTTATTTGCATGGCAGCATATTTTTCATGCGGCCAACAAGGCACGAGATCACGAGCAAAAGCCAGCGACGGATTTGAATTGTAACTATAACGTGCTACAGATTACAAAATGGCCATGTTGGACATGTTGCTAGGGCCGTTGTTGTTGGTGGTACTGGTGTTGGCGCTGGTGGTGCTAGGCGAATTGGATCGGCGTGTGGGTCAAAGCTAACGAAGCTTGTTGCTTGTTGCCACATGAAGAGGCCAACATTGGTTATTTAAGCCTACTGCCTGCTGCCTTCTGACTTCAATGTTGACTGTTGTGCTCTTCCTCCATCACAGTCGCCTTGCCTGTTGTTGATACCTTTGCCAAGTTGTTGCCCGGACAACGTTTAAAGGATTAAGTGCAGCCAGGTCTGCTATTTGCAAATTGAAAGCCATGTGTACTGATTGACCTAACAAACGAAAATTTAAGAGCCCAAACACAGTAGCTGGCTTCTGTCTGACATAAGCAAATGCTGACATCACATAACAGACAACTACAAAGCGCTATCGACTGTAAGCCATTTATGGCAATTATTTGTTTACAATATGCAACAACAACAACAACAATAAAGAAAGCGATTAGAGAACACAACGTCACACAAAATGACACGGCACAATGCAAAGGAGCGCGCACCCTCGCGCATCCTTGCTACAAATTTGACTTGACGGGCAACCAAAATGACAAACATGAGCTGAGCAGCACGAGCCAAATGTCAAGAGGGAGAAGGGGCCAGAGACAGGGTGGAACGTCAATCAAATCAAACATACAGGCTGTTAGTCAGTCTATGTCTATCTGCCTGCATGCTCGCCTGTCTATGTTGTTATCGCTGATGCAGCAACAATATATCAGACAGCAATTCTCAAACCCTACACCTTTTTCCAAGGCACAGTGGGAGGCCCTGGCAGGATAAATCGGAAAAATTAGAATTCATAAATGTAGCAAAAACCATTATAGCAACTTACGCAAATTTTAGAATTTGGTTTTCCTTTCTGATTAAGAACGACAGTGCACAAACATTTTGCATACTAATTAGGTTTTCAAAAAAAAAATAAAGGACTTTTGATTGCTTGACTAATTCATTGTCTTTATTACATATTATTGAAATTTGACTAGATTTCTCCTAACTAGGCATTTCTACCTTATAAGATTTTTGTTTTTATAATTCGTATATATTATTTTTCTATGTTACAGTCACATAGATAAAAATAAATAAAATAAAATTATTGGTTGTTTTTGAATTGAATTTCGAAGCTTCAATTTGTCTATTTGCTAACAAAACTAATAGAGTCTTCATTTGTTTTCAATTATATATAAATTTGTTTAAACAAATGACTTTGTTTGTCTTTATTAGATATTATTGTAATTTGACTAAATTTCTCCTACTTGGGCTTTCCTTGCTTATAGGTTTTTCCTATGTTACAGTCATATAAATAATAATAAATAAATTAAAATTATTGGTTGTTTTTGAATTCAATTTCGAAGCTTAAATTCATATATTTGCTAACAAAACTAATATAGTAAATTTATTGTTTTAACAAATTTATATATAATTGAAAACAAAAGACTTTGTTCTTCAGTTTATTCTTTTTATTAAAGTAAAAAGAAAATCAATTTCGGAATGTATTATTAACTTTAATTTTAAGCAATATATGAGCACTATATATAGATTTTTTGATGATCTCCACTTCCTTTGCAATCGCTGCTAATTTACTGCATTGAATGTTACTTGACTATGCTCTTGACAATGGCAGAATTGAAAGTATTTTATTTATAAATGGTATTGTTAATTTTGTCATATACTCCCTTTTGCCTGAAGAGATCAAGTTACTTGAATATATATTTTAACTTTTTAGATTGTTTAATGAATAAAAACTGACCAACCACCATCAACTTTGCGCCAAAGTGGTTTAAAAAGCATTCGATTTTATAATTCACTTTTTCCACAAAATTGTACATACTTTAAAATTGGCAAACAAGAAATGAAAAATCATGATTACAAAGACAACTTTCGCATAGAGAACAGTTTCTAGTAGAAAAGCAAATAAACACGATAACGCAAGTTTAGTCCCTGCCACGATTTCTGTTATGGGCGGCATAAGTTCAAAATGTGACACACTGTATCCCAAAATCAATTGCGCATATCATATCTAGCCTGACATTTTCAAAGCTACCCAGACATAGAAAATTGCGCCGATAGCAACGCCTCGTCTTTGGTTTGACAGCCCGACATACTCGTATTTATAAATATCTGTATATATGTATGTACATATAGGAGTATGTAGAATGTTTGCTGTGCTACGAGACGATTATGACAAGAGGACGAGGGCGTGGCACGAATTGGGATTGGGATGCACGCAGGGTTATGCGGGTTATGTACATTTATTCATGTACATGAGGGGTCCTGTCCCGCCTCCATTTGCTGTAGTTTGCAAAAGTAGCGGGACTGGTTACTATGAAATGTCTGAGATATGCGCGACCACGACAATGGAATTTACGAGTATAGCAGACCCAGACGATGGCAATGTCGATGGCAGTCAAATGCAGAACTACAAGTACAACAGAAGCAGCAGCAGCAGCAACAAAAGCAACAACAACAACAACGACAGCATCAGTAGCTGCAAAGTGAGGAAATGTGACGACAACGACTGTAGACTGTGAAGCACATTCGATTGAAGTGGTGATGGGGTGATGGAGGAGAGGAGAGAGGTGAGAGAGAGCAGAGGCGAGGGTAGCAGTAACCATTTATCGTCAAGCTTCGTCAACGGCATCGGCATCGGTGGCAACAACAATAGCAACAACAGCACCGATAAGCGACGACAATGCTAACCAGTGTGTGTGTGTGTGTGTGAAAAGGGCGCGTGAACAGCAATTGCTGTCGTCGCACGTTCCTGTTGTTGTTGTTGTTGCTGTTATTACAGCCGCTGCTTTTATTATAACACACTGTTGTTGCTGTTGTTTGATTAAACTGCTGCGTTGCATTAATTTAAACTGATGCGGTGTATTAAGCGAATGCAGGGGCCAACGTCAAAGTCGGGGTCGTTATAATGCAATTGCTGACAACGTACACAGCCACAGCCACAGCAACAACAACAACAACGATGGCTGCAACGGCGACGTCACGAAAGAGTGACAGCAATTCCTCTCCGAATTTTCGCATTGTTTGTATTAATAAGGCAATAAATAAAATACGAAAAGCAAGAGTGTACATTTTAAGTAGAGTGGGGAGACAGAAATGTACAATACGTGACTGAAAAGGTTTGTCTACCGCTGAGAAAGTGGGAGAGACAGAGAGAGAGAGAGAGAGAGAGAGTGAGTGGGAGACAAGATAAGAAAAACAACAGACGCCACTTGATAAAAAGTGCTTTCATAGCGCCGCATGATCAAAGAAATGTGCATACAATACTCTAAGCTTATCATTTATTGACATATTTATAAATAAAGTGGCAACATTATTGATAAAATAATGTTGTTAGGAAAGCTAAGTAAGAAATATACGCTGCGAACCTTACAAGGTTCCAAGGCAGTTTTGGGATGGGGTGCGTTTACTGTGTTCTGCAGACTCTTCATAGTAAAACTAAACTTCTGCACATTCACTTCCGAAATAAAAAGAAAGAAAATCACATCATAAAATCTGAAACTAAAGCTACTCTAACATTACAAAACTGCTTGCATCTGAAAACACTTACATACATACATATGTATGTCTAGAAACGGTAAGATGCTCGTGTTGACTGGACCATCCAAAATTACAACAGAGGCTTTCGAAACGAAATCTGGCTATTTATTGAATAAGCTTCCAAGAAAGTTAGTTGCAACAAAAATCCAATTCGTAAAAAGTTACAGCTTTAGGAAAGATCTGTGCCCTTTGTGTCACATCAAAAAATACATAAGCTCCCCAAATAGTTCACTTATCACGTACCACAATTTAACAAATCTTAAACAAATCCTCAACTTATTAACATTTTTTAAGTTATCGAAAAAAAAAACGTTCATCAAAGATCTTAGGGGATTAGCGGAGCTCATCGTCTCTTCGACTCGAATTAATATGTACAAAAAAATACTTATATTTCCAAATAGTACAAATATTTATAAATATGCAGAGAGAATTCTTACGAGAGAGAGTTTATTAAATATGCATATGCGCTTTTAAGTGCCACTTTTAGACAATTTTTGACTTTTTGGAAGCAAACTAATTAGAAAGTCACATTTTCTCCATAACTTATGTAACAAGCAAGCACTATAAACTTTAAAATACAACACTTTCCTCCCATCCTACCCACCCTGTTTCACAACTGCAAGAAAATTGCAAATTCAGTGAAAGAACTAAATGACTAAAACTAATTAACTAGAAAATGTTGCTTCTCAGGAATTTCCCCTTGTCAAGTGGAATGCTTACTTACACATAAGTCTCTAAGAATATTGTTTTCGAGGCAATTTGTTTGGAAACTTTGCACAGTTTATGGCAACGAATTACAGTGGACTCTCAGAACTTCGAAAGTACGAAAACTTGAACTGCCTTTTCTGTTAAATTGATAGTTTAAGGAAGAATATGAAATTAAAAAGTCCATAAAATTATCGTCTAGAATTCAAAACTAGCAAAAGCCTTTGGGTGGAGGGTATAATTATAGAAATGCATAACAATTTCTAATGTTAATTCTTATTTACAAGTGAGCACTGCATTGCATTCAATTATTAAATGAATCCTTGCTGAGGTAATGAATGAAAGAAAAGGCGGAGAAAACGCTCACTAACAATGCTATTAACGTACTTATACCTATACTTCCGAATCCCCACCCACATGCTGGTATGTAGATGGGATATTGTTCCCCTAACCCACTCGATTGATAAATAAGCATTTGCTTTTATTTCTCTTCTCAATTAAACACAGTCAATGAACCCGTGTCGAATGCATTATGCATTTTCCCATTTGCATGCGAGTTTTCTTCCCCTCTTGGCCAAAGCCATGCATGATTGCTTAAACTAACACCCTCAACCGATTCCCCATTTGCAGATATGTAGTATGTATGGCAATTCCTATATTATTGTTATTGTTGTTGGTGTTGTTGGCAAGTGCACTGCGTAACCCGCACCACAATACCACAACAACAACTACAATAGTGGCAGTTGGAGCAACTCGGAAATAAGCAAATCAGCAAACTCAAATCAAATCAGCGATTGTGCAACTAAAAATGACACGCTTAATGCATTCAGTGCAATCGACCACATGGCTGATAGATAGATACCACAGGGCCCCCAGCAAGATGTTGCTGTTGTTGTTGTTGTTGCTACTATTATTGTTTGCCACGCACCAATGCAGCTGAAGAATGTCGTCATTGTGCCCGCTTGTCAACAGTGCCGAACAAATCGAGTACAGCACACGGCCAAAAGACTTATCGATCTTGATGTTTGTGTGTGTGTGTGTGTGTGTGTGTCAACTGGTGGTTGCACTTGAGCTGCTTACGGCAACAGAAACCACAACAGCAACAACAACAACTACAACGTGTACAAAATTGGTTTGTCACATTGCCTTTTACGCAAGAAAAGTCGACCAATCACTCGGACTGCAATTGGATATGCAAATGCATGGCAAACTGTTGCCGCTTTCAACGGCGGCGAGGGTGTCAAGGTTAGCTTGACTTACAGCTGGGCTCATTAAACGGTTGCAAGGACACAAGCGCCACAACCCAGAACAACAACAACAACAACAAAACACCACCGCCCACTCATTGGCCGCTCAAGCGTGAAGCTTAAACAAATCGGTTATGTCAGGCCGCGAGCGTTAAATCGCCAGCAGCGCCGACAAAACAAGTTATAACAAGTGGGTGGGTGGGTGTTGGACTTATGTGTTTGTATCAGGGATACAAACTTGTGAAGAGGAGAAGGTAATATTTTTTACTGGGGGTCCAAAAAATTCATAATAACTACTATAGTATGTTTCTAGGGTAAGTTTCTAGGGTAAGTTTCTAGGGTAACTCATAAACCAGCAGTGGTGATGAATATTGTAATTAAACTAGCTTTTGATACATTTATTATGCATAGTTAGATTTATAATGAATGATAATAAGAAACGAATTGGATTCTATTCATGAAATAATGTCCATTTAGTAACCTAAGTCAGCTAATTTTCTAGCTCTCTACATCTCTCTCGTCGCTTTGATGTACAAATCTATGATACTACAATTGATGTTTCCTAGATACAAATTTTAATCGATTTCTCATTTAAGTCTCATAAAACAACCAGAAATTTTTAATAATAATAAAGAGTATCGAGATTAGTTAAAGAAGAAGTCTCTGAGTAATGCAAAAAAAAACCTCATATTTTTTCAAACATTTCGGCAACAACTAATTCTAAATCAGCTGCAATAGAGCTCCTAAACGCAAAATCTATACTTCTGGAATTTATTGAAATATTTCAAAATATATTTTTCACTCAACAATATTTTACAGACAATTGACGGCTTACGAACTTAAGAAACATTTCGTGGCTGAAACAATATTCGTAAGTTAGATTATGCTCGACTACAATTAGCAAAAAATATTCATGCGTATGTAAAGTTTATAAACTACTTAGTTCGAATGGAGTCAAATTTCTATGCAAAATGGAGATATGGCTAGAGCCATACAAACTAAGTTAAAAGGAAGAGAGTAGAAACCAAAACGTCCTAGTAAGCTACATATAAAGTATTCAATCTATTAATCAAAGCAGTTCAAAATAAAATTATTCTTGGGAACGTGCCTATATTTTAGCAACCAAGGAGAACAAATTCAGGAATGAGTAAACTAAAATGCCAGAGGACACTTTTCCAAACGAAGTTGTCTCAAATAAAGACACTTAAAAGACTTTTGGCAGTGATTTTAGGATGTTGGATGGGAAAAGCAAAATATATATAGGAAAATTTGCCCTTGAGATCAAAAGGCAATAAAAGAAGATTTCAGAAAATTAACATTATTTGTGACCCACAATAGGCAATTGCTTTCGAAATCTCGACCTAGCCGGCAGTGCTTTGTCTTTACATTAGTGTTGTATTGAGTAGTTTGATTCCACCACAGAAAATCAGAGTTTTTGAAAACAAACAATATCAAATCTAAAAAATATGTTATTATCCATTATTATTGTTAGCATACTTAACAATAATATTCGGCACCTAAATAAACTGAAACAGTCAGTTTTGCAATGAATTCAATTATGGTTAGACCAGCAGTTTAAGGGATTTAATTGTTTTCTTTGCAATTTAATTCCTTTCGAATTTGGTATCCCTGGCGTGATGGTCCTGAACGCGTTTGGGTTAGTTTGCTGTGCTTGACTCATTCCGTTGCCAATTTACCTTGCATTGTACAAACTTTCGCTCTGCGGCCGGAGCTCTGGTTTTACCTCTGTGCCGTGACCAAACAAATAGTCCTTAGCTGCAGCCAAGTGTCTGTAGTGGTCGTCGTCGTGATCGTCCTTGTAGCCTTTGTTGCTGTAGTTGTCTTGCAGCAGCTTATCAGCGTCATGGTAATCATAAACAGCAGCAGGAGTAGAAGGAGCAGCATCGTTGAAAAATCGTTGCTGCTGTGGGCTGCCCAAGGCACCACTCAGACTGCCAGTGTCCTTTGCATCCTTCGAAGTTGCTGCTCCACTGCCGTTGACATTTCTCAGGTGATTCAATGGCTGCGATTTTTCTGCAGATTTGCGTTGCTTCCGCCAGCTGCCTGGGGTCATTTCATTACTAATGTCAACATTGTACTCGTCCTCAGCGTTTTTCTTCTGCTCAGCGGCAACGTCATCGTCGTCGTCATCATCATCGTCCTGCCAACGTCTATGGCCAGCATTATAGCTGGTGTTGCTGTTGCTGCTTTTAATATAATTTTCCGGCTCGTTCGTTGGCTGCCAATTTTTGCGTTCATACCAAGCCAAAGAAAGACGACGTGCAGAGGCTGCAACGTCCTGTCTGCCAGCCTCCATTGCCAATTCAAATGGACTCTGATGGCAGCCATTGTTGTCCTTAAGACTGGCACGTTGTGCGTAGCTGTCTTCTCTATCGTTCAGCTGGGCATTATCGACGGGTCCTAGCTGGCTGCTGCTGCTGCTCCTGGCCCTGAGCCTGTCCATTGAATTGTTGTTAACGCCATTGTATTGTTTTATTGCTGATTGATTCCTAGTCATTGGCAATTGATTTGTGCCTAGCCAGTCTCCACTAGCATGTCGCATAGTGTGTGCCCATCTCCCGGCTTCCGCCGGATCGTCCTGCTGCTCATTGTCATCATTGTAGCTGGCACTGTTGGCTTCTCTGGCAATTTGCCCAATGGAGCGCCTCAATTGCTGGCTGCTGACACTGTTGTTGCTGTTGCTGGTCAGGTTCATCTGAGACTCCATTGCTGGCTGCCGTTGCAGGCTCTGGCTGCGCTGCCTCGCCGCTACGGCCTTCTTTTTTTTCTCGGCCAGTGCTGCCGCCGATGGGGCAAATAAATTTCGTATGTTCTCGTTGCGCTTTGCGCTAATTTCGCCATCGCCGGTCGTGCCACTCGGCCCATTTGGGCCACCATTTGTTTGTCTTCGGGCCACGCTTTGCTTAACCTAAATAATTTTTAATGTTTGCATTTTGTTTTAGTCCATGGCAGTAGTGTTAGTGGTATTGCATTTCTTTTTATTGTATTGTGAGAATCTGTGTAGTTGTATTGTTTTCAAACTACTTTTATTCTTACAGCGTTATTTCATTTTCGGTCGTTTTTTTCTCTTTTTTTTGTAGCTCTTTGCGCTGTGGCGCGCTGCTTTGTATTTTGCAGCGTTGTCTTTTTGATTTGCCACCGCTTTTGTGTTAATTTAAAAGTTTGCTTGGCCAAAAACAGAATAATAAAAAACGGAACGACAATCGAAAGAATATAAAAATAAAACTCAACTGCGAACTCGCTGAGCAATCATGCGAAAAACTGGCAACGAGTTCATAAACAAATCTGGGTTAGTTGGCAGCATGGGGGGTTCAACTTAGAGGAGATTGCTCCCAGGGCATTGGAAGGGGGCGCGAAAGGACGCTGAAATAAACAAAAGCAAGGCAACAACAAAAGAACAAACGAATAATAAGAATAATACAAAAGTTTGATGCACAAACAAAGAATAATATTAAGAAAAACAACGAAAAATTATAAACGCTTCGAACACGAAACTCAATCAACAGAAAGGACATACCAAGGTCCACACACTTTATCTTAAATTGCAGCTGCGCTTCGATAGATTAATGCCATAATCGGATAAATCGCTTTCGAATGTTATTACTGCGCCGCCCTAAAGCGCGAGATCTGGGCGTGCCCTCAAAGCACACAAGCAAAGACAACACACTCACAAATGCTACTTACATTGCTCGCCCCTGATATCCTTGAGGCAAGTGACATTGAGTGAAACGAATTGGCCGCACGACTGGGCAACAACAACGAAAAAACTTCTAGCCAAGTCGTTTGAAATAGGAGCCAGTGCGCCTCTGCTGACCGTCAGGAATTGTGTACGTTGTGAATTTTCAAAGCTGGCTCAATCTGTTCATGTGTGTGAAGCGTCACAGCAAGGAGGAAGATAAACAGATAGAGAAAAAGAGGAGAGAGATAAAAAAAAGTGAAACGTAAGAGAGATTAGCATAAGCGGATAATTTTGCAACAAGGCAACAACAACAACACCGAACCCCCCAAAGAAAAGTGCGCCAAATGGAATGAAATGAGCGGAACAGTCAGCATGTGTAGAGCGTTTAAGTGCTGATGCCAGGCGTTTCGCAAATCTGCAAATAAAGGAATGGTACGCAGAGCGGGCAAGGCGCAAAAAACAAAGCCACATCAATACCAATGTTCCACAAGCTGCCTATAAGCCCCAAACAAAAAATACTTTAAACTGTCTCTTATTTCAAGCAGATGGACGTTCTTAAAATGTAAAAACTTGAGCTGCTGCAGAGCGCAAAAAAAACAACAACAACAAGAGTGCACACTTTTCCTGCAATTTCCACAGCAGCCATTTTTCTTGTTAACAAATGCTAGCAGTAACCCACAAGCCAACATCTGGAAGGCGCCCAAATGTATGCTTCACATGTTTCTCCTTTCTCGTGTTTGCCCTACAAATTTGATGCGCAGGGGTGTTTTGGCAATGGCGAGCAGCTCATAACAGAGAATGGAAAGAGCAATACAAAAAATGTTGCATTTACTTATCTAGGTGATAATGTTTGGTTATATTTTGGTTTCAAAAAAGCTTTATTTCATTTCTGAATAGTTCTTAAAACAAGAGCATAGTAAGAAATACTCATGCTAACATGTTTTTACAAATTGCTAATGAAATGTCATACTAAGTATTTTTAAAGCTTTCACAATCAAATCCAAAAAAATACTTTTACTTTTACGATTACTATTTGTTTTGGTCTTCAAATATTTTATTAATTTTTGGTCATTTTGAAAAAATTTTGACTTTCTTATTTATACATTTTTTTATATATAAGTATAAATGTATTTGCAATTTATTAAACCAGTATTCTACCACCAATATGACAGCTTAAGCTAGTTGAAAATTCTATAAAATGTAGAGAATATTTTTTTTAGGCTGTCCAGCATGTATCTAATGAGCATTTAGACTAAGCTTTCAAGCATGCTTTAGATTTCGTTTGATCCAAAAATTTGTATTCATTTATTTTTCTTTACTTTTAATTTAAAATAAATTTGGTATTTATGGTTTTTTCTATACGTTTTTGTTAAAAACTCATTCTGCAAACTTAGAAAACATTTGTACTGTATTGGCACATAACATTATTTTTCAATATATACTATAAACATTTCCGTTTGCTTGGAGAAACAATTTCTTTAATCGAGAGATGCCATTTTATTAACGATTTTGCTTAGAACTCTAAATAATCAAAACAATACTAATTATAACACTAATCAAATAACTAATAAAAAGAATTGCCTGTCACATAACATTTGAAAAGCAATAGAATAGACTGTTCTCTTAAAAAATGATACTTTTTTTACTGAAGTATTAGCACTTTTGGAAAATTCTTAATACCATGCAATGCTTCAATGTAACAAAGATGAAAAGTTCAGTTTGTTCTTCAATCGAGATGGAGTCCTCTTGCTTTTATATTTGCAGAAACAAGCAACGCATTTTGGCCCTTTTAGGAAATGTACAATCAAACTTTGGTGATTTGAAAAGTACATTTTCATTCCTCCAACTCCTTAAAGTGGAAGCCACTGGCATTGGCATTTTTCACTTGCATTTGTGTGGTGAGATACTTTCATTTTTTTATGGAGACTTGGACTGGCAATATAATCAAAAGTGGTTAGAGCCAGAGCTCACACAATATGCGGCGGACGCCTTCTGCCTCCATGCTGTATACACAGATATCTGTGTATATATCTGTGCAATGCTATAACTACTTGTTTGTTTGTTGGTTTGTTTGTTTGTCTCTCTGCTTGTGTTGTGAAGCTTACAAAAAATTGCATGTCAAGTGAAATTACTTGTTTGCTGTGGCAGTAGTAGCTGCAGCCACATGACAACTGCACGCACGCAGTTTGGCACACGATTTCAAGTAAGAGTAAGTGAGTCTAAAACCTACACCCACACACACACACATACTATATGATACACATACACCAACAAAGAGAGCCAGCTGCCTTAGCTCTGATGGTGAATGTGACATCGACGTAGACGACATTTCGATCTGCACGGATATGCAGCTAAGCACGATAAATTGAGATGAATGTCTGGCATTCACCAAAGCAGCAGCAACAGCAGCAGGCAGCTACTATCTTTTCATCTGCTTCAATATCCCCTCCATCTCTGACACTCCCCCAGGAGAGCAGTATGGGTAACCCTATACTATATATCTATTTTTTATCAACTCGAAGTACATTTAGCTGTTTGCTGTCTATTTGACTGGCACAGTGAGCTTGCGCTCCTCCCTCTTCCAAAGCCAATGATACAGATTTCTGACAGTATGATATTGAATTATGCCCCAACACAGAGCCATTTGTTAGGGCTTTAAGGCCATATTACATATGCGCCGTGTGTGCCGTGTCTAGACGCTGGCAAATGAACTACACGGCTTGCACATAGGAGAAGCGCGCACCTATAAATATTTTAAAATGTATTTCATTACATGTGCGAGGCGCCATAAAAAAGCATATAGATGGATGACGCCAGCAGAGGAAGCGGCAGCAGTGGCTGAGGCAGATGCAGCAATGCGCCATTAAAATGCAGCGCACGCTACAATTGCGTTGCATAATTTACGGCGCACCCACGCAATGCAGCGAAAAGTTACAAGTGAAACAATCGGCACAAGAAGCTGCTGCTGCTGCTGCTGTTGTTGATTTTCTTGTTGTTGTTGTTGCTGCTGCTCTGCCCATAAAATATTCATTTAAAATGCGACACGCAACACTTTGCATGACACATCGCACGCTCGCACCAAACACCCGCCCACACACGCACACACACACACATACATACCCCCCCAGCCAGTTCACAGTGTCACGATTCTGCAAATCACAACAAAACAAAATTGCTGTTACTTTGTTTATCTGAAGCATTAAATATAAATTAATTGATGATTCCAGCTCTGGGAGGTCAATATGAACAATCACACAGTTATATACTATATCCATTTATTCCAAGGTTAGCTGATATAGTTCCGCTGAGTTGAACTTCCCCTAAAGTGGTCATATAATTGTCGACATGCATGATTCCAAGTCCATTAGTCAATTAGCTATGCAAGCTAATGCTTTAATTTGGAGTAATATAGGGCTTAGACTGCCTATTTACATCTATTTAGTTGCATGGAACTATTTATATCTTACTTTATTTTACCTTGGTGAGATGCAAATTTTTTTTTAGTTAAAAATTATAATGATTCGTGCTTTTTTCTTGCGAACGTGAGTTGAAATTAAAAAAGTAGCTAACATTTGTAAGCATTTTCAATCTCAAATTTATTTATTTACTGAAGAGAAAAAAATTCATATTAATAGCAAAACTAATTGAGAAAACGTATTTGAGAACAGCTTCAGGCTTGAATACATTATCATCGTTAAAAATAATAATCTCAACACTTATATTGGGTTCAGGAATGAAATTTTTTTTTCCAGAAAATCAACTTTAAGATATTATATCCGTATTATTATTATTATTTTATATATTATTATCCGTAAAATATTGGTCACACTGATTCATGCTAGGGTTTATTGGAAATGAAATATAAGAAAAGGAAACCTATTTGAAGGTAGTGATCAGTAATTTTGAACAGTTCTTAGAGATCTTAGAGAGTTCTTGGAGAGTTCTTACGAGGTTACAAAGCTGGTCACCATTCAAAGAATCAAAATATTACAAACAAAGAACAATTATAATCGATTCTGCGAAGACATTGCTTTTCACGCAACAAAAATGCATGTCGCTGAGAATAATATTGCATCATTTATGCTTAATGGAAAGACTTTTTGTGAGCTCAAATGGTTTTCATAAAACACTACGTGAAGTACATAGTTTGTAAGTAGGATAAATGTTTAAAATGGACGGCATACGGTCACGTAATATTTTGAGATATATTTTAATATTTTGCCCAGCGCCACTGAAGGCGGGCTACTAATCTTCCTGTGTCAATTCAAAATTAACTTTTAGACTTATCATTAATTCATTTTAGAGTCTAAGCCGCAATAATTAAGCAGTGTGTGTAATTTATTATAACACTTAGATCGGTTATTTTTATTAGAGAGTCGATCTTAAGAGTAACCGAAAAAAGCAAACTAATTCACGTTTTGGTTTTCAGCTTTAAAATAATTATAACTAATAATGCAGGTATGACCACGCATAAGTCAAAACGGTTGTTAACGATCGCCAATAAAAACGGATGGTTCGCCTAATTTGCAAAAATATCCCACTCTACCATCCACATGTGTAATTAAAGCAATCAGCGGTGTGTGGGCATTGGGGAAGTGGTAAGTAGCAGCTTAAATTTGCATTGATGACCGACACCATGACTGATATGTGGACAGTCGAACAGACCACGTGCTACGATTGGAAGCCAGAACTAGCTGTTTACAGCGGAATCAAGGAGGAACACGCAAAAAACGAGAATTCTAATTGCAAATAGCGCACGCCATGTGCTGGCATATCATTGCCAGCGCATTTTAAACAGTTCCATTTGCATTTTTGGCAATAAAAACAAACACAACGAAACACACAAGCCAACCAACCAACCAACAACAACGAACAAGCAAACAAACAAACACTTACCCAACAGTCGCAGTCTGTCAACTACCCGCACATATATATACTATATATACAGCTATTGCTTCTATGCAAATGATCCCAAAAAGTTGCCTGCAAAGAGAACGTGGAAGCATTTTGATTAGACATTAAAGCATTTAATATATGGCTGTGGGGACATATAAGTTAGCTAAATGTGCGCAAATTATCGCAAAATAATAATACAATACAATAAAATTTGCACTATATATTGATATTCGACTTGCGAGAGCAATTTCGATTTCATTTTGCGGCTAATTGAAATGTTGGCTGCAGCTCAGCACGCCCCAACACACAAACAGGCAATAAGACAACCACCAATTGCGTTCCAAATTAATGTGTTTAAGCTATACACCAACTAATATATATACACTCGTATCAATGCCACACGCCCTGCAATTTCAACTCTGCTCATTATGCATTATAATTTCCCATTTCGATTCGCACTTCAATTGTTAGATTTCGAGAAAGAGAGAGTAAGAGAGAGAGAGATGTGCGAACCATTCTCAGCTTAGCACATTAATGAAACTGCCAGGTAAAGTTTGGTAAGTAGAAGCCTGTGGATGTTCAAGCATAATGCACAAAACTTGTTTCGCCACAGACAAAGCTTCAGTTTCAACTCCAGGGCCACTCCCAATCCCAGTCTCATTCCCATGCACTGGCCACACACACACACATTGCGGTAATAATAAGCCATACATACGTTGGCTTCTAAAAGGAAAATCACGTAAGACATCAGTCGTTATTAATGCGGCGGTAGCAGCAGCAGAAACAGCAACAAACAATTGCAAGAAAATGCATTGACCAACAATTCCATTGAACTGCCACCGCTTCCATAAACTTCCCGCCACTCCACTGCACTGCATCGAACTGCCCATTAAAATTATGCGCAATTATCCAATTCACTCAAACGTAGCGTCGTCGTCATCATCCTCGCAAGGGGTCTTCGAATTGATATTATCACAGAGAGGGTATCCCAACTTTGCCAAGAAGCTTGCAGCTCATAGAAAAGGAAAATATTGGCTACTATTTCGAATAGGTTATTCCAATATATGTATGTTCGCAAAATGAGTTGGTTTCTCTAGAATGTCAAAATAATACTTATACACTTTATTTGGAACAAATTAAAAGCCTAACTTAACTCTGGTTGATTTTATAAGCCAAACTCACTAATAAAATGTGCACCTCAATAATTTAACTTTATTTATACAAGGCATTGACTCATAGCCCCCAAAATTGGAATCGGCTTGTAGAACGTGCAAAAAATGTTTAAATAAATCATGTGCCCCCATAAAATAACGGAAGTACTTAAACAATAATAAAAAATTGGTACTATCTTTATCGCATTAGCTTGAATAGAAGTCAAATTATTGAAATGCTGGCAGTTAAGAAATAAAATTTGATGAATATATGAAACAAAGCTAAAGCAAGTAATGCATGTACTTTATAAGGAAGGAGAGGTCCATTGCATGGAGCACTCATATACGTCTTCGGTGTTGATCTTCGATTCACAACACCTCTTCAAAGATTCTTTGCCGTTCAACCCTTTGTCGAGTCTGGGCAAGAAGCATCTTCATGGACATACCCTATGGGTCTACCTATCCCGTCAGTCAGCAGCGAAGAATTCGCGGAGAGACAAAGGAACTTCAGACTTCTAAGACTGCCGACTACAAGTATGAACGCATAATTAGAGCTTCCTGAATGCTTCTCAGCAACTTAGATCCTAGCTCATATAATGTTCGCACAAGCTGATAGAAAAAGTATTACTTCTCTTGAGATATCCAAAATCAGGTGCTTTCACCTCCAATAAATACAGTTAAAAATATTAAAATATTGCCGCACATACCGAAAGATAAGCAGCTCGAAAAATGAAAAGGCCTACCTCAATTTGTTGTTTGAGTTCTGCAGATCAGGAATTCAAATCCATTCTTTGTCCCTAAACAACTTTCTTAATACTTAATATGAAAAACAACGGAACAAACATGGATTGAAATCGTGAAGGTCCTAAACACATGGTCCCCTATTAAGTACCCGCATATAAATTTCACAATCAACAGCTTTTGTGTTAGTTGCACAGTCGTAGAGAGCATGTGGACTTCGCGAGTCACCCAAGAAAAAGCGTTAACTGCTTTTCCAATAAACGCAAATTTATGGCTACTGCAAATTGCAAATACGCTGCACATAATTATGGTTGGGCCCTGCGGTGCGACTGCAACAACAGCAACAACAGTAACAACAACAACAATAACAACAACAAAAGCCACCACCATCAACAGAAACTGAAACTCGTAAGTCAACGACAGCGTTAGATCATCGGGAAGCTCTCGGGGCGCAGCGGGGGAACCCCACGAGGCAGCGCACGTTCGTCTGCGATCATCGACTGCAGATTATCAGACGGCGCTGCACGTTTTGGCTCTTGTGCATAAAACTAAAAGGGAAATTTTCACGGTGCTCACGTAATTGAATTGGAGGTACTAAATTGGCATTTATTATAATAAAAGCAAATATGCAATTTTGCTTTCCAAAACAAAGCAAAACGAAAATAATAAACGAGGAAGTTGCCTGCCAACATTTGCAGGCAAACGCAAATCTACTCCTATATAACCATATATATATATATATTGGCCACAAAGTTCAAATGCCACTCAAAGTATAATGGAATAATTAAAGGGCAAATGTGTCATTCGATTTATTAAAACAAAATTTATAAACCATTTCACAGAAATTGTTCTATGTGCAGTTTTTGCACAAAGCGATTAAAAACAAATTGAAAGATGTTCGAAAAACCAACAAATACTGCATTTACTTCCATGCATATGCATTTATTTTTCATTTTTGTTGTTGTTGTAATTAATACTTGTTTGAAAGTAAAACTTACATGGAAAAAGCTTAATAAATATAAATTTTCATGAATTTTTCGGGAACCTATTTACCTTCAAATAAAATCGAAATGTAAGTCAAACAGATTTATTTGCATTTGTATGCACATTTCATAACATATCGTCAAAGTTAAGCTGTGCAGCAGAGTAAAATCAAAACAGATTTAATTTTACTCAAATAAAATATGTACATACTTAGACACGTTGCATACAATTTTGATTTAATTCCATCTCTCGAATTCATGTTAAGTCTATCAAATACGACACAAATACACATATTTATTGTAAACGCCACACCACAAAGCATTTCTTTGTGGCTGCTTAAGACTGCTAGTATAAGTCGGAATTACTTTGCATTTAAAATGATTGATGCATTTGCTATTGCTGGACATTTTTTAGCAGACATTATTATACAGTCCATATAATTTGTCGGCAATAGCAGCAAAATATGCCTAAGGCTTCCATAATTTTAGTCCAAGGACTCTTGTCTGATACTAAGTAGTTTAAAGTAAGGAAGTTTTCAATTTTTCTTTCCCACAAAATCTAAGAAAGAGCTTTTCTGCAATTATTTTAAAAGCCAATTGCTTACTGGGGAGCTTTCAGATCTTTTTTTTTGACATTCGGTGTGGCTTTATTAACTGATGTCAGAAATATTGTGAGTTGCAGTCTTACTTTCTTTACTATGTTTCTTAGCTCTGCTTCTTCTATTTTTAGCAAATACTGTCGATATTGTAAGTAAACCTGACAAATGGAATTCAAATCAAATGTTAGTCTCGGTGACTTAACTAAGGTAGCTGACCATTAAAAATATTACACCATGAATGCGACATATATTTTCAGAATGTAATAAATGGCACCATGATTTACATTACATTTCTCAATATCCAATTAGGCGTCTTTATTAAATAAACATAATTAATTACAGACCATATACGTCAATCTTTTCCAACTTGAAATGGCTTTTTATCTATATACCTTATACTCGAAGGGTTAAAATGTATACTAAAATGTCCTAGAGGAATCGATATAGAAATATCTGTCTGCCCGTCTGTCCATCCGTCCGTCCGTCTGTATGAATGGCGAGAACTGTTTAGCCAAAACATCTAGCAATACTTAACTCGGTATGTAGACTTGCCTTATCAATATGCACATCGAGCTTACATATTTACTATAAAGCCTTATCATTTTATATAGCCTGTCATCGATCGGTACACAAATTACTCCTAGTAAGATAAAATTTTATTTATAGATATACGTTTATTTAAGATATAAGTTTTTTATAGTGAGTCAAGCTTTCTTTCTCGTGTAGAGTGCAGCTCTATCCACATAGGATTGAAATGTGACTACTTAAGTATACTAGTGTTTTTTTAAAGGAAAAATAAAGCTATGAACAACTTAAAAACTTCAACATATTTTACACTTTAAGACAAGTTGCAGCATAGGCTTATTTATGTTTTCACATCATCAGCCACGCTCGTTCAGTTGAGCACTAAAAACGAACCGCAGTCGATTGGAAAATCAAATAAATTAATGTAAAATACCTAAACATGCAGAACAAAAACCAAACAACATTGAAAATATATTATGAACATATAGTATTAAGCCCAACACGCAGACCATTTAAAAATGCAATTGCCTGCATATGCATTTTAAATAGAAATTGTTCAAATATTTAAAGCTTAATGAAATCAAACCAAACTGGCCAAAATGCAACCACTATGCCGATAAAGCGGATTTGTGTTTGAAATAATTTATGCAGAAATTAATATTAGTTTAGTGCATTTATGTATTTTGAGCTGTATGCAGTAGTATCCAATATTAGTTTCTTTTTAGTGCGTCTTTTTATTTGGCCACTAAAATGAAATTTGTGCGAGTATTTAATTTGATTATAGAAACTATCCAAGCGCACAAGCAGGCGGCCAACTGGCCAACAATAACAACAACAACAACAATAACACTGACAATGGCATTTAAATGGATTTGCAATTTGCATTTAAAGCTGCTTAAAATGGGATTCATTTGATTGTGAGCGGCAAACCAAAGCAAATCCCAAAACAATGTCAACAACTAGCACTTAGCAGGCGCCCACTCAGAACTTGGCTCAAACAAAATGCACACACACACACACTCACACACACAATTGAAATCAGCGTTAAATATGGCTGCGTACAACAACAGCAATTTTGAAGCGTTTGC